GTGCGTGTAATCGTTTCGATAATTCAGTCTCAACTGGCGTATTGTTGACTGCTCGGGTCTCTTCGGTAGACAAGGGGGTCTTATCGATCTGAGTTGTATCAATTGTCTCCGGTGTATCGACTACTAGCGTTTCTTCATCCTCTGTAGCTGGCTGTACGACTTTCCTTGGACGGCCTCGCTTCCTCTTAGGTTGCACATCTGTGTCGATATCTGCCGCACTCGAAGCTGCCGGGCCCACACTTGCATCTCGAGACTGAGATCGTGCTATTTTTCTCACTGGTGTTCCTTTCCGCTTTGGCTTCGCCGGTGTTCCTCCAGCTGCGTCTGATTTTCGAGGTCGCCCACGGCCACGTTTGACTGATAAAGGCTCATCATGGTCTTTCAGAGGGACTGTTGTCGTCTTCGTTCGTGTGACCTTTTTGACTGACGGTGACATTGTGGTCTCACCGTCACTCTCAGGCTCGGCTTGTACAGTGACTTTGATGCGCCATGGGCTCGCGCCGCCCAATCGCGGTGTGTTCATGATCATGGACTTGGCTGGTGAGGATAGTTCGAATTCGGGCATATCATGTCGGTGATTGTGTCTGCTCGGCGATCTGTTTCGTGAATGCGCACGCGGGGTGTGTTGTGTTTTCCGTGCTGATGTTGTTGTATTCTCGTGAGCGGAGAGGGCAAGAGGGTCTGGCGATGAAGAGTAGCTACGAGCAGCATCCCCGGTGATATGTTCTGCTCTTCCACGATGCGCCATCTCAAAGTGTGTACTGCTCCCTTTAGTGTAAACCTCAAAGTTCGAGAAAGGTAGATGTTTCGAGCCCTAAGCCCTACAGCGTGGGCTGTGAGCGTGTTCTGGCGTTAGCGTTGCCCAGGGCAACAATCGATTGATCCCTGCAAGTCCATCATCACTGCCAGGCAGCACACCAACAGTCGCATCGCAGCTCGAGGAGTTCTGAGCAATGGAGGCGTGATGGGTATCCATGGGTAAGTGTCGCATTATACGTCGTTAGTTGCGATACTAACACGAGCAGCATTTATAAGGAGATTGGCCCTGGAAGGCGGGTAGCGTTGTCGAAGCTTGCTCTCGAGAAGTTCGAAGAGACTGGCAGACCATTGCGCATCGCTATAGACACTTCAATATGGCTCTTCCAAATACAGGCAAGCAAAGGTAATACATCTGTGGCGTACGCGCACATCGCATCAACGTTAGCTGACTGATCTAGGTGGCACCAATCCTGCATTACGAACCTTCTACTACCGTCTGTTACGCCTGATCGCCCTCTGCATACACCCCGTCTTTGTGTTCGATGGTCCCAATAAGCCGCCGTTCAAGCGCAATAAGCGCACCGGAGCAAACGTCGCTTCCATCCCCGAGTTCCTCGCTAAGCAGCTGTTGAAGCAGTTTGGCTACCCCATACATCTGGCACCCGGCGAAGCAGAAGCAGAATGCGCACTACTTCAGAGAGAGGGCATAGTTGATGCTGTGTTGAGTGAAGATGTGGACACGCTCATGTTTGGGAGTGGCATTACAATTCGAAACTGGTCTTCAGAGAAGTCAGGCAAGACGCCCACTCACGTCAATGTCTATGATGCGGTAGAGACAAAGAACGGACCTTCAGAACTGGATCGCGAGGGCATGATTCTGGTCGCTTTGATGAGTGGCGGAGACTACGTACCTGAAGGGATACCGGGTTGCGGGCCAAAAACAGCTTGTGAAGCTGCAAAGGCGGGATTTGGGCACGACTTGTGCAGTATACCTCGCAATGATCCGGCAGCATTGTCAAGATGGAGAGATCGATTACAACACGAGCTAAGAACGAACGAGAGCAAGCTCTTCAAACGAAAGCATGGTGCCCTGAAGATCCCTGATGACTTCCCTCGACTCGACATCCTGGGTTACTACACACATCCGGCGATCTCTACAAAGACTGGGCTAGAAAAGCTGCGTCGGTCAATTAATTGGGATCAGGAACTCGACTATCCAGGGCTGCGAGAATTCACTGGTGATGCATTCGGTTGGGTAAGACTCGAAGGCGCAAAGCACTTTGTCCGTAGTCTTGCACCATCCCTCCTTGTTCGAGCATTACGTTTAAGAGCTGCAAAAGTCGAATGCTTCCCAACAGACGACATACAGGCTATACAGGAGGATGAAGCACTGCTCGTGAAAGGTATACACGGGAAGAGACAGCACGCCGTCACAGACAGCTGCACCGAGCTTCGTCTAAGTTTCACACCCATCGAGCTAGTGAAGATAAACCTGGACGATGAAGACCCTGATGAGGACTATGAACTTCCACCGCCATCACAGCAGGGTGCAGGCGATGATGAGGACCTTCCTTTGGATCTTGAGGACGATGCAGACGACGGGCCCAAAAAGCGCGGTCCTACAAAGTTCGATCCTTCCAAGCCAGCAAGGATCTGGGTGATGGAAACTTTTGTGAAAGTCGGCGTGCCTTTGAAAGTGGAAGACTGGGAAGCAGAACGACGAACGAAAGCGAAGCCTAGAAGAGCAGTGAGTCAAGAACCTGACAAGGCTGCGTTGAAGGCCAAAACTGCCACCAGACGGACAAAAATTGTACCAGATGCACCCCAGGCTCGGATAGAAAGCTTTGCAAAGGTTACTAAGCCTGGATCGAGACGTGCTCTCGCCAAAACACAAGACGACAATGTCAACCCTCCGTTGACCCAACCAAAAGCTACATTAATCGATCTTCTCTCCTCGCCGCCCGTACGGCAGCCGCGCAAACCGCCAACAGTAGCAGCATCTCGAGACAAATCACTTTCTCCTGTACTAGAACATTTACCGCCCAGCGTCACTAAGCGGAGGAGACGAGCGCCCATCCAACGTTCGAAGACACTACCTGCCAATTTGGCTACTTCCATGGAACGGTCAGACACACCACCGCTAATAGACACAATCGAAACCCTGGACTTGGTCAGCTCGCCGATGCAGCCCTCTCCATCGCAGCTACATACAAAGAAAGCGAAGACACGGACAACAGAGACAACCCGTGGGTTTTCTGTAACGACGTCACCCAGCAAGGGGAGGCAGACTACGTTGGATGTATGGCGAGCCTCCCAGACACCCACTAAGCTACGTGGTACGACCAACATATTCAACGACGCTCCTGTTCCCACTCCATCGCAACTACGGCGTTCCTCTGAGTTTGTTGACACGCTTGACCTGACTCTATCATCGCCAGTCAAAGGTTTACAACTAGAGTCGGCAACAGAAGCGCGACCTCCGCTAACTTCGGTATCGTCAAACGCGTCACGCTCGTCCTCTTTATCACGGTCTTCGGTTACAATCGATGGCAAGGTCAGACCTGTTGCAGCCACGACACACGCACGACGCACCTCACCACGCCTCAAAAAGGCAAAATCTCTGACACCTGAAATCGACACCCTTGATCTCACGTTCGCGCCACCTCAAACAGAAAAGGTTGCACCATGTGGACTAGACACGCTTGATCTCACTACAGCATATGCAGAATCAGCGAAAACCGCGTCGTCAACGATCGACAGCCTCGATCTCACATCGCCAGATCTCAAGCCCATAGCCTCAACATCACCAACTATCGACTTACTCGATCTCGCCGGCCTCTCCTCTCCTATTGTACCATCCCGTCAATCGCCCACACTTGCTACGCGCCGCTCACCACGTAGCCATGTCTCTCACTCTCCAGAGCCCGTTCGCAAGCCATCGCCGCCTGCAGCTTGGAAATCGAAGGAGAAAAAGAAACGGCAAATCATACTTCGAAAGAGCCTGGCTGGCGCGTGGGATTTTGTGGATGCTGAAAGCCCTGCTAAGAACGCGGACACTGGAAATTGGGGAGGAGTTGTGTTGAAGGGGAAGGAGAGGAGGCGATGGAGGGAGAGTGAGGTTGAGGTCCTAGATTTAAGCTAACGCCATTACGTGCAACTGTGTATGTTTGATGAGTATGGATATGAAAACGTCTTTGAGCGATGCATCAGCGGCGTTTAGGATGGTTGATTACTGTAACATCTACATCTACGTTTTTAGACGCTAGGATGGATATTGTTACTATCTACAGATATTATTAAATACCAAACATTCAGGGCTATCGATCGAGAACTTGTCCTTGAGTCATCAGCCCTGTCATGTTTGGTCACACATTTGGCGCATCCGAATTAGATCATGGTATAATCTTAAGGAGCTTATCGAGTACGTTGACGTCTCTCAATAAGGACTGACTTTGTGTGAAACTCTTGTTAGGAAGGCCTTGATGAGTTCTTTGTTGCTGTTTATTGCATTGATGGAAATGTGAAAACTTGTGTATAACAGTCTCAAATAATTCTGCAACCTATTCAAATTACCATGATTCATTGTATTGATCTTGAAATGCTGCGATTCTCATGACTACTGTTTTATGCCAAAAGCAAAAACTTCGGCGCCCGTTCCTAGCTTCGCCTTGAGCGAAAATGTTTCAACCCTGGCTCGAAAAATCATTTGAATGACTCATTCATATTGTTGGACGTAATCGTTATTTCGAGTTTGACTGATATGTTTGTGCGTGAGGGTACCCTTACGCCCAATATAGGCGTGGGTGAGACCTGGTTGTTTCGCAGTCTCCAATCTGCAGCACCCGCCACAACTTTGAAAATTTACCACGATTCGACAATGCAAGATACGGGCTTGCGGATAAACGTCAGAGTATTCAGACATACAAAGAGGGTGAACCGAGAGTTTCTTGCATTAATATGCATGGGTTCTGCACGAATCTTGGTTTTCGCGTGGCACCAAAACCACCTCAACACGAATCAACACAACAACAGCATCCGTGGCCCAAAATTCGTGGAACCTGCACTAGTCATTCACCATGTTGCAAAAAAGATGCTCCCCGAATTTTGAGACATTCTGCCCGCTCGTTGCTGTGGAATTCGTATGCCGGAACCCAAGGTCAGCCCACCCAGGCCGAACAAGAAACCAAAAAAAGGAAGAAGCGAATTTATGCCAGTCAGACTGGCGGTTATCACCCATGAGCGGGCTCAACCGTGATTCGAACACGGGGCCTCCTGCAAGTTTGAGGAATACCCAAAGCAGGAATCATCTGTTGATTGTTAGTGATTTGAGGAGCGAGAAACAGGTAATTGATTACGTACACCACTAGACCATTGAGCCGTTGATGAAAGAAAGAACATCAAATATGTATATATAGCGTTGTTTTGATGTTCAGAGGAGTTCGTGGGGCCGAGATACGAAGCAGTGTTGGTTTAGGCGGATTTGGGCGGATGTGCGACGTTTGCCGGCCAAGTGCGGGGCCGGGAACATCGAGAACATCATTACGAACAACCTCGGTAACTTGCTTCCCATTTGTCTGGCTGATTGGGGAGAAATATAGGTTTGAGTCCAGAGTGATTGTTAGTTGAGCAGATGATTGGATAGCCAACACCTCGAAACAATTGACAGAACGTGATTTACAGCATTGAATCAGTCAAGGACTAAGTACGTTCTGCATTCTATGGAAGTGTCTGGGATCGAAGCCGTTGATTTTAAAATGGTCGCTTCGCTGATATTGTAAAGTCGAAGACAGGGTCGGTCGTCACGACATAAACAACTCTTCAATCGGCACGATCTTGCAAACAATCAACTCAGAAAGAGTGACTTGATACGACTCCATGCTCTACACGCTCGACGGTTTGAGTTTGATCATGTCGCAAAGCCGGATACCATATGCTCGTAAAAACTTCCATCACGACAACATCTCAACTGCAACTACAAACATCAAAATTCTCATCGCGACAGAGGAATCACAGAATATGTACACTGAGTATCACAGAAGTTCCACTGTTGATTTAAACTGGTAAGCATCGTCGTTTTTGAATGACACTAAGTTTCGTTGAAGGGTGGAGTGTTCGCGCAAAAAGTTTGAGCATGTAGCAATATGACATCTCACCAAATAAATTCGGACGACAGGACGCTTTGATTATAAGACTCTCACGACGCCAGAAAGGATAGAGAGACTCTCAAACTCGACAATAATACAAAATTCTCACTCAGACAAGTGGGGATTTGTGCTGCTTTTCAACATCCGCTGGGCGTTCTCCGCGTCGGTGACTTTGAGCAAAGGGCGTTACTACCCAGCAAAGAATGCGTGTAACTATCTAGCAAAATCACACATGTGTGGCTTTTCAATCTAATAGCAAAAGCTCCATAAAAAATACGACGGCACAACGACACGGCAAGCGCGACGATACGGTAAACTGATATATATGGGTATCTTGTCGAGGCGACAATTATCGCGCCTGATCTCTCCATCTACTCCTAATACGCCAAACCCATGATACTCCAACAATCATGCAACGCTATATCAAAGAACCCTAGTGAGACTTGACATTCTGCGCCCTCGCCAACCACAGCGCAACACTCTCCTTCGCAACCTCACTGCCCCAGACACCGTCAGCTCCTCCACGCCTCCACTCCTCGCCAGACACATCCTCGCCGCCTCCTCTTGTGGCTTCGCCAAGGAGGACCTCCAAGTCTCGCTTCTGTGAGGACAACCAGCGCTTGAAAAAAGCAACAGGGTCCTTGGCCATGCTGGTAAAGAATGCGTGCTTAGCTTTCGACTGCCCAATGGCACCCGTAAGGAGGACCAGTTGCTCGTCCAGCTTCTGAATCTCCTGCAGTGTCTGAATGCTGTCCGGTCGTCGCAAGATGTCCTGGAAGAGAGGTTGCATCGGGTCCTCGAGCGCGACTTGAACATCGTATACAGTAGGTTCTGATGCATTCTTGCCGTCTTCTGCGGGTGCCAGATAGTCCTTGTCTACGCGAATCGTGTATTGTAGTTGAATAGGGGGGAGGGTTGTAAGGTGCGGCTTGATAAGCTGTGGCAGGTTCGGGAAGTAGAACGAGTCTTGACCATTGAACAGCGCTTTCAGCTTTGCGTCGCACGCGAACTTGCGCTCGTCATCGTCTTGTTGCAGATGCTGCGATCTCGCATATTCCCAGATGCCCATCAGCACGCCTGCGCGGTCCTCCTCGTCGGTGTCTAGCAGCTCGGACAACGGCTTGCTCAGTCGGAAGACTTCGGGGTTCTGGTATCGTTGGAGATTGATCGTGACGTTGATGTTCTCGTCGCCCTTGCGCTCAAATTCGAGTTCACTGAAATTGCTCTCTTTTGCCGTGGGATTCTCTGGCCGCTTCCACTCGATTTGCGTAAAGTTATCGGGTTGCAGATCCTTGTTTCGGTCAAAGTCAATCGTGATTGCATTGAAGTATTGCGAGAACATCTTCGGTTTGGAAGCGGCTGTTTTCGAATCGGCGCCATCTTCATCCATAGCTGTAGTTTGAATGTCAGCATTGCTCAGCTTCGTTTCCTGATACTAGCTGGCAAATTCCAGCTCCGAAATTTCGAAGCTCACAAATTGCGCGAGGCCATGGAGATTGCGCCCAGCAGGCGCATTACGTCTAACAAATGCATGTACCGAAGCTTACGTACCATCAGTGTCCTTGCCCTCCTCTTCGTCATCCTCGTCCTCAAGACCCTCGTCGCCCTCCTCGTCCAGAAGACGACCCTGAATCTTGACGCGGTAGGTGGCATTGGTGTCGCTCTCGAAATCAAAGGCGTCAGCGTCAATGCCGCTGCTCTGCCATGGCTGGTTCTCGGCTGTGTTGGAGATCCAGATGCGCATAGTACCGTAGCGCGAAGCTCGCGAATGGTGCTTCGAATCCATAACATCCAGCTTCTTGCGCATCATGGTCGCGTCAAGTGTGCGCTCAATCTCACGCAGCTCGCGGTAGCGCGCAACACCGTCGCCTATGCAAACTTCCTCGACACCCTCGGGGATGTTCTTGTCGGTAGGGTTCTTCGCGATGCGGCGCATCTTCTCGCGTCGTTCGGCCTCGGCACGCTGCTGGGCCTGCATATTTACGGCGTTGTACTGCTGCGCAGCTTGATGTTGAGGATGCGCAATGGGGGCTGGTTTGCGAAACATGGCGTCCAAGTCAGCCCTACTGATCATAACTGGCTTTCAGGGTATGCGCGAGAGCTTGCTGGCGTTGTGGTGGATCTCACAATGTGGAGTTACGTACCGGGCCCTCGCCGAGCAGGAGTTCCGATTGTGCCTGCATTTTGCGGGTAATTGTAATTCCGATAATTCGCCTGCTGCATTTTGGGCAGGAACGACTTGTGAAAACGGCAGCGTCGATGGGGCGCGAACGTCACAGATGGAAGTTGCAGTGGAGATGGAGGAAAGGATGCTGTCTGGAGACGCGAACGCGTAGAGGTACAGTGCACAGGGCTGAGATGATGATTGGCACGCCGCCCCCCTTAAACGTTGAAGGCGGGGCACGACCACCGGCTGGGAACACCGCACCTGAGCTCAACCGTCATCTTTGGCATCTTCCAGCGTGATGCAAACTCGTTGTGTGGATGGAAAGAGGTGGGCAGAAGGCGCCAAAGGCATCGCGATGTCATCTCGAGCTGTTCACCGTCTCCATTCGATCTCCTTGGCGACTGGCGATCAGCGACGCGCAAGAAGCTAGGTACAGCTGTCTGGATCTATATCCATCTCGACGTCATCGTCAAGTATATATCTCCTCGACGTACCGTCTCTCTCTGTCTGTGTATCACTATCGTTCTTCTCATCGCACTGTACGAGCTATGTCAGTCCAAGAAACCCGTCCCAAGCCTTTGGAGAAGATTACTCGTGTCCGTTTGCCAGGGAAGCCTCCCTCCGAGTTGTGGGACATTACGATCAAAGACAGTAGAATAGCATCTATAGACGCACATGTTGAGAATGCGTCTGCACCGAATGCAGACGGGATTCTGGACGGTGCCAACAGACTGATTGCACCTTCCCTCTGTCATGCCCACATCCATTTGGACAAATGCTTCCTGCTTCAAGATCCTAAATATGACGACCTCCAGATTGAGAGTGGCGACTTCAAGGAAGCCATGGAAATGACGAGCACAGCAAAAGCAAGGTTTGAAGAGGAGGATCTCATGAGACGAGGTGGCCAGTTGATTGAGGAGAGTATACAGCATGGTGTTACAGCTATGCGGGCCTTCGTCGAGGTCGATGGAGTGGTGCAACTAAGGTGTCTGAATGCCGGGCTGAGACTAAGGGAGGAGTTCAAGGAGCGATGCGACATCCAAATCTGTGCTTTTGCACAACTACCCCTATTTTCTGGCGAAGATGATGGCGTACAAGTCAGAAAGCTCATGCAAACTGCAGCATCTAACGAGGGCGTGGAAGTTCTTGGCTCGACGCCGTACGTGGAAGACGATGAGGAAAAGTCAAAAGAGAACGCTCGCTGGATCTCTGCATTAGCATTGAAGCATGGAAAGTACCTCGATCTCCATCTGGACTACTTCCTGGACGAAGATAAGCAGCCTCTTATCTGGGACGTTTTGAGCACTATCAAAGAACAAGATTGGATCAACTCCGGTGGCAAACAGATCACGTTGGGCCATTGTACACGTTTGACCCGATTCAAGGAGGAAGAGTGGCAGCGTTTGAAACAAGAGATAGGCGAGCTTTCAGTCTCTTTTGTGGGACTGCCTACGTCTGATCTATTCATGATGAGGACGCCGGAGAACGTGCGTGGAACACTACCAATCATGGAGTTGATCAAGCAATACAAGTTTGACGCTGCAATCGGCGTGAACAACATAGGTAATGCTTTCACTCCCCAGGGCAATTCTGATCCGCTCAGTATCGCGCAACTTGGCGTAGGCCTCTATCAGGCACCCACCAAGGAAGATGTTCAGCTGCTCTATGTATGTTATTGTCGCACTGTCGCCTCATTGAAAGGTCCTAGCTGATGAAATCACGCAGGAAGCCGTCTCATCTCGAGCAAAGGCAGCGATTGGTCGCGAGCCTACTTCTCTGGACCTCAAGCTTGATCAACCCGCCAGTTTTGTAATGTTTGATAGGATGGACAGCGGGTGGCGCTGCCGGAGGAGCATTGCAGAAGTAGTATATGATGCTGGATCAGACCGACAAACAATATACCGAGGACGGTCCACCACAACACGCAGATGAAGGTTGTCTGTTTGCATGCCATGCTTAGCACGGAAGGTGCGCCACGAAGTCTAGCCGTTGCTGCGCTCGCACATGGCCAGTAGGCGTGGCTGCCGTTTACACCAGCAGATCAACAATCAACACATCATAAACCTT